TTCGTTGTGAAAGTTCGACAAAAACTAAAGTTGTTGAATAGGATAGAAATACACATTAGTCGATTCAGTTTTTTATCTTGATTCTAAATATGATATTTGTATTGCTCAAGAGTTGAGTTCTGTCAAGAAAATTGAGAATTACGTTCAGAATTGTGACTTTTCGCCTATGATTTAAAAAAATGAATTTTTTCAGCAACGGAAAGGAATTCCAAAAATGTTTCCCATGCTAATTTTGCCCGTGTAAAGAGGAATTGAATGTGGTATGAATGAAGGTTCCATCTCATACCAGAAAAGACTAATAAGGTTTCTAAAATTTGTTGGCGCCCTTTTGGTCCCCGATAACATTAATTTTTAATTTACCCGTGTTATATGTGATAAGGCTCTAAATAACATTTCTAGAGGCAGTTTTATACACTGAAGCAGGAAAAAGTAATGGTGACGCTTCAAAATGAAACAGAAAAAGGCTTTCGAAATTTTTCTTAGTATAACATTTTTTTTGAATTTTAAGGTCTTCAAAGCTTTTTAATTTTTTTCACTTAAAATTTCGATTGTAAGGTTAAAACCTCAATTTTCTTGATCAGCTCGATGAGCGGAATCGAATGCTGTATAAATACGTCAAAAATAAATTGGTGCTCGAATTTTGAATTGGCGGCACCTTACTTTCATCTAATAAGTCCGTATTTCAACCGGTATCCTCATTAGCTAGACAAAAGCCTATTAGCGCTTCAGATTTTCTTAGTGTAATTAGCACACAGCCTGTATCTTCTAACCATGTTAACAGGTGATTTCCACTTATATTCATCACTTTACAATGCCATTGTGCATGTTTTCCATTACAATCTCCAAAAATATAAAAATTTTTATTTATATACTGTTGAAAAAAACTATATGTTCCTGGTTGTCCATAAACTGCTCCTATTAGTATTGGTTGCGGACTTAACTCTGGTTCAGTTATCAAAAAGTGACTTTCATAGTTTATAACTTTACTTTTTAATGAATGATGAATCAACAAAGCTACTCCTCCATGCGCATTTGTTCCCTCTTGTGAAGCCCAGTAGTATTCCTGAAAAGATGGCAATTTCTGATTTTGTCTGATTCATTGATGATATCTTGTGTAAAGGGATTTTTTGTATAAAAACTAAGAACATGACCTTCTGTGAGGTTCTGCTCACTCACTTCTCAAGTTTATTTAAGAAAGTGACCGGCTATATATAGTACATAAGTTGAACAACAGTTATGCAAGAGTTGCGCAGGAGTTGCGCAAGAACAGAAAGAGTTGGGAAAACCAGAGGATGACACAAGTATTGCGCAAGAACAGAAAGAATTTGGAAAACAACTGCAAAACAGAAAAGAAAGGAAAAGAAGAAGAGAACTTAGTCTTATGAGCTGCCAGGAATGGCAGATCATAACACCTTCGCTGTTTCATTCCTTATCCTATGTATATTCGCCTATCAGCTTGACTGTTATAGAAGTTTCAAATCATTTCGTTTAAATGTGAGATATGAAGCTCTTCAGTTTTAAGTGAAATAAACAAAAATCAAAGGCTTCCGAAAAACAATTCCTCTCATTATGTTGTTACATACGTGTGAAAGTCGAAGATTCTCTCAGACCACTTAGAATTCAGAGAAGTCTAAGAACTTTTACTTTTTTGAGAAGCATAAATGAGTCGTGAGACTTGTCTACTACTGTAACTCGTCTCTGAAGTCTAATCAAATCTACAACTTCAGTACTAATTAGTTTTTTGTCCTTTTCTTAAGAGACAAACGTTGTTTATAACCTGTAGTCAATTGCTTTTAAAGTTACAATAAGTCTACAGAGGCGCAGATGTTCTGTGCTTCTCAAAAAAAAATCCGATTCCAAGCCTAAACAATGAAGAACCACGATTTCATTTGGCTACTGAAGCCCCTGTACATTCTATGGCATGAAAGCCAAATAGACCATGGTCATTTATTTCGGATAAAAATGAGCAGTGGTAGAAACTTTTTTGTAAAAGGACCAAAACGAAAAGGTTTAGATGGACTGTGTTCACGCATATTCCTCTTTTGAACAAGAGCTTGCCAATAAACTATAAAAATTGCAGTGAAAATATTTTTATTTCGATAGAAAACAGGATGTTGTTAACTAAGAAATGATTACCATTTTTTATGATGATATTTTCTTATGGCTACATGTACTTTTCTTCAAAAGAGCCATTATATATAATGGAAAAAGGAAAGTATTAGTAAAATTCTAGCATAATATCTAGAGGTGTAAGCCGAGCGGCTGAGCCGCCGCCGTCGCCGATTTTTAGGGAAAATCGAGCCGCCCCGCCGATGGACCAAAAAAATTATTAATTTTCGAGCCGCCGCCGCCGAAGCCGAAAGTTTCCGAGCCGCCGCGGCCAACGGACCAGAAAATTTTTTAATTTTTGCGTCGCCGCCGCCGTCTTATAAATAGGAATACTAAATTTTTGAATATTTTCGATACTCAGAATTAGTTTTCAGGATTCTTCTAATCTAACTCCTAATAAGAACGTTCTATTTTATCATTTTTCCCTTTTCTGTTACAAAATTTCTCAAAACGGTGAAAATTTTTGTAAAAAGCATCTAAAACTTTTGAGCCGCCGCCGCCGATGGACCAAAAACGTTTAAATTTTTGAGCCGCCCCCGCCGATGGATTTAAAAAATTTTTATTTTTCAAGCCGCCGCCGCCGATGGGCCAAAAAAATTCTGATTTTCGAGCCGCCGCCGCCGATCGAGGCGTCGGCTTACACCTCTAATAATATCCGCTTTGATAGAAAAAACACTTCCTGGCATTACTAGCAGGCGGGAAAAGGTTACTGTAATAGAAGATCATACTTTAGAATTCGACTTGCAGAACAAAGTAAAAGACCAGATGGCCTTCTGTTAAGGAAGGAGAGGTTACTTTGAAGATGATACTTCGATCTTCCTATTCTTGCAAAATCATTCATATATGTTGTACGAAACTTTTTGGCACACGATCCGGTTTGCCGAAACCTCTGGCATTCCTTGAAGAGTTTTCGTAAATCTTATTGTTATCAGCAGGTATCTTTAGGCGTTCTATAGAACTAAGGATCTGTCGGTAAGGGTACTCCTCCTATATCCCGGTGAGGATATAGAAAAAAATAAATAGCCCAATCTAGGCATGCACCGGTTATTTTATTGGGGCTCTCGGGAGTAGTAGTTTTAAAATCGGAGAAACTTTTCAAAATTTTTCTAAACGGGAGTTTTGTGCACAAATGTTTCCTCTACCAAATAAGACGCGCAGACTTTCTCACAGTGGTTCGTCGATGAAATATGAATATTTTTCTCTAGAATAGGACCGGTTATAACCGATGCGTTTTTCAAGTAAAAACTTTGTATCTCATCGACGAACGACCGTGAGAAAGTCTGTGACGTCTTATTTGGTAGAGCAAACATTTGTGGCACAAAACTGCCGACTAGAAAAGATTTTAAGAAGTTTTTCCGATTTTTATAACTACTACTCCCGAGAGCCTCGATAAAATAACCGGTGCATGCCTATCCCGATTGGGATATAAGGGAAAATTTCTTCGTAAAAATGATTAAGGGAAAAACGACGATGTGATGGGACAAAATTGATCGCATTGTTAGAAAGAGCTCGAAAAAGTACATCAGCTCCTGTTGTGTTTGATTAACAGTCTGTCAAGCACTCGGCAACTATTTTTTCGAATAAAAATTTTTCACATATTTTAGTCGAATTTGTCTCGATCGGGAAATAGGCGGTTAACCTTTTATTGCTCCGAATGAGATATACGTTGGATGTAATCGCTTTCCACACCGACCGTCTTTTTCTATTTCTTCCTTTTCCTTTTCGATGCACACATATATTGAAACACACATTTCTTTTCTGATGTGTAGACAATATATAAGTACACGTGCTTTGTGTTTAATGGGGAATTTTCCAACTATTGATTCGTGCAGATAAACTGCCTTATGTTTTTTATAAGTGAATCACAACTTCCTGTATCTTTCAAAACACGTAACAGTCGTGATGTTAACATTTTTGAAGATGATAAAAGAATATCATCATTCCAGCCATTGCGGCACTTACATATACTCATATTGTCTTCTACGGCAACACCCCTCGCAAACTAGTTAGACTTGATGAAAAAACACACATGAAAGTAAGAAAGTACATTAGTCAACAAATTTTTTTTGATATCCTGATCGGAATATAATTTCAAACTATATCCCCTTCGGGATATTAAAAATGTTTTGCTGTAAAAGACGATATCCCAATTGGGATATGTCTCCACACTGTCTGTAAGATAAACTAAGAATATGAATAGTTGTTGTTTCGATGATAGATGCTGGTGACGGTAAATGTAAAGCATAAAGCATCATATACAATATGGGTAAAAATATTGATATTGCACAAACCAACTTTAGTCTGACATTGATAATTTTGTTGTTTTTCATATGATCCATTTAGAAAACCACATCAGCAGCAGAAGAATTACGCTCGATATCAATTGATCCAGTCTTTTGCAATGATGAACCACCGGAGATAGAGCCTCGATTTTCCGCTAAAGAATAAAGAAGAGATGATTAAAGATCGGTGTGTGTAGATCAGAAGAAGGTTACATACCGCCAAAGTCTTAAGAATATGAAATATTTAGTTAGAAAAAACACATCGACTTGCATTTATAAACACTGTTTTTGTGTTTCTTAAACCTTTCTCCTTACATGGGTCCCGTTCAAATAGTATCACTCCTTGGCTGAGGTACTAAGCCCATCAAGTCTAATATAACATTTGTAATCAGTATTGTCGATTAAATAGAGGACAAGAATGAACTCGTTCTAAATTGCGAAAGATAAGGAAAACAGTCATGATTTAATGCGACATCGGATTGTTGATTGTTGCTAGTGCTCAATGAACCATTGTCAAATGCGTGTATAACTTCAAATAGCTTTCTAAAAGTTTAATGGGCTCTTCAATGGATAAGTTTATATAATCTTTGTTTGTTTATTTATTGAATTAGGAAATGTTCGAACGTCCATCTTAGTGAAAACAAAAAATTATATAATCAAATGAACAGCTATCGTTTCGAGAGAAATAAAACTAAAGCAGAGAATGCATTTATCGTTAAATGATAACACATGATAATAAAATACAGAGAATGTTGTTATTCTCCTTGAAGAATGACTATTAGAGTGCGAATTCTTAAATATACATAAATAATTATTCACTATCGAAATCACGATTATTAATAATTAGATAAATAATTTGAGATGTGAGTATTTTCTATTTAACTTTTGACCTATTGATATTTAGTTTCACATAGAGTCAATTTATTTTCTGTGAAATATTGAATACTTCACCAATATTTGCGATTGACAGGAAATGTCTCAAGACATTTTTTGCAAATATATATGGCATTGCAGTAATGAAGCAGTTCATCATTTGACAGTTCAGGATACATACAAATCGCGCACGGACCAGTACTGGAATTAACCAGAACGCAAGTCAGTGTATGTTCATATAATTCTTCTCGTCGAGCAGTCCATATACAGCCCAATTCAGCAGCTGTACATTTTATAAATTGTTTTCGACATATCTTTTCATGATCAGACATATCTCTTTGTCTAATAATTTCTTCACATTCACATTGAAATTGGCACGTTTGTAGTCGATGATATTCATAATTATCACGTTGAATGTTTCCTTGATTACATTTAGTACATTTCACAGACAGCCGATTAAGTTGATTCAACACCAAATGAAGAGTTACGGGTGATAAATCAGATGAACTTATGTGCTGTCGGCATATTGGACAAGACTGATGATTTCGATACCACTCTGTAATACAATTTTTACAGAACGTATGATTACAGGTAGTACTCACTGGGTTATCAATAGGCTGATGACATATAACACATTTTAATTCGGCATTAATCAGATCCTCATTTTCGTATACATAATTGTGCATTGAAATATTCGGAGGTAAAATAGAATTTCCTTTGAAAAGATTAGAAAACCAGGAAAACATATCTTAACATGTGAAATTCTATTCAATTAGAAAATGCTGGATTTATATTCCTTTAAATCGTTGCTAGAAGTTACCTAACAAAAATGGCCATCGATGGTAATAGTTTTTTCTTTCCTTTCTCTGTTTTCGTTGAATAAGAATTCAACCAATGTCTACACTGTTAAAATTTTTATGCTAAATAATGTTGGAATGTGCGAAATTAGGTCAAAAACGTTATGGTATGAGGACTGACGACTAAGTGCATCCGCTATAGTGTCACTAAAACATATAGGATATTCAAAATTCGAACTGAAATTCATTGGATGAAAATTTTAGATTTAAATAAGCTTCAAATAACATTTCATTTCCCCATAATTCTTTGTTATGCTCAAGCGCA